AATACCATTTACAAAATAAATTGTCTATGAACTGTAACAGACAATGAATCGGCCAAAGTGAGCGTCCCCTTCGAATCAGAATCCAGGAACACAAATCAGCTGTGAAAATACATGATATAAATTCTTTCATATCAATGCATATAGACAATTATGGACATCAGTTTGATTGGGATAATGTCGAAATCTTCGACAGAGAAAACACCAAAAGTGGCAGGGAATTTCTAAAAGCCTGGCACTCAAGCGAATATGGACCAAGTCCACCAACTAATAAAAAGTAAATCATGTGATGAGAAAGACTCAAATCCAAGTCAATAAAAAAATGATCAATACAAATGTAAATCGACTACCAGTCAGGAAGATGGTAACCACGAGACGCATAGAAAATTTAAACCAGTTCACTTTATGCTAAAAATTGATCTGAAAAAGGATGTCCAGAAGAACGATGAAAGCTCCGCAACTAAACCAACCAGCTCAGACAACACTACTAATTGCAAAACTGTAGCGATATATTCATATCGTCATTAGCAAAATGATAAATACAACACATAATAAGCATGGGGAAATGACAGTTAATGGCTATCGTCTAGCACATCAGATTGTGACTTTACAGTCGGTAGTAAGCACGTCTACAACTAATGTTTTGTGTTTATTGGCACTTTTCAGAAAGACGTATCTGCAACCTCAACAGAGATTCAAACCCATGTCATCTAGAGTTGGAACCAGAAATGTTATCATTGAACTATTCAAGCTTACCACTAACTTCCTATAGGACTGTAATGGGTACACTAGCTGATCAGCTCACGTAAACAGCAGATTTCAAAACGCTGGTGTCTGACCTATAACTATAAGTGGAAAAACATCTGGAGTTTCATTACGTGCTTAACTTTAATAAAGCAGAATCATTCAGATGCGCTGAAGATATGTAACAGTTGAAAAATTGAAGGAATTAATTTTCGATAACCTGCTCTTCATCAAGCGATATATATATATATATATATATATATGCACACAGAGCACCGGTTGTTTTAGGCCAATCGCAATAGCCTCTGTTGTTTGGGGTATTAGCTATCTGGATACTTTTGACAATCTGTCTGGCACCGATAGATGACGCGGAAGGTTTCTTCAATGCAAGCCTGCTTTGTGGCTGGTCACTTTAGACTAGATGGTCTAGTATTGAGCTGTTGATGGTATTCACTAAATCTTTGTTTAGCCACACTGGTGGGCATTCTCGAACAAGCACGTAAAATCAAGTTTCTACAGTAATGGCAAGTATAACTTGCTCCGCCCTGGCTGTGCGGCTTTCGAAGCTCGTACCACGTGAGTCGTGGTTGGCGAGCTTTCTACCGCTGAACAACCAAAGCACATGGACCGTCATTTCCTACAGAAAATGAAGGCATACATTTGACACTCGAACACCTTGACAGAAGGAATACATGACCACAGTAGAGAATTCTCCTGTCATGATTTCATGAAATCATCCCACCCACTCCTCCCACCAGCACCAACTTTGTCTGATACTGTAGTTTTCTATAGCTGATGTACCTCAAAATAGGATGAGTATTTGTCCAATCCTACTTGGCTTCTATCGATGTCTTTTCAGCAATGGAAATAATCGGCAGGTTGATCCATACTACACACATAGAGCGATAGACAGACACACACACACAGATATACATCTACTTACGACTGATCAATTTCGACTTTTCGGATTGCTTCAGTTTATTCACTTAAAAGAGATATTTATTGATAAGACGTTTCTCTGAATTTTATCGATGCTTCTCATCAGGAAGTAAGCAGTAAAAACAAACAAGCAGACAAACAACACAGACACAGATACACGAAAAAAGCGGATTGTTTAAATTTTTGATTAAGAAAAGTGATCTTACTGAACGAACCATTGAACAAAAAAAGACTAAGCTAGCTGCTCATAATCACAATCATAGATTATTATATCAGTAATTTCAAATTTTTATAAAGATAATCTATGTCTAAGAGAAATAAAGATACGTTTTTTTTGTAAAAAAAAGCGCGGGTGTATGAATTTTGTCTTTGCAAGCTCAATGGTGTACTTGCGTATTTGCGTTTATGTGTGAGTGTGGGGAAGCAAAAGGAGCAAGGAATACGAGACAAAAAAAGAGGGAAATGATACAAAAAAAGAATTTCTAGCCGAACTATAAATAAATACAATAATTTACTTACTACTAATGCATATTGTAACAGTAGTGCAAATGATATTTTGATTGTTCTTACTCTTGAGAAAGATGCAATTGTCACACTAAGTGGTTTTAACGACAGTTTTAGTCATTATTTCTAAGTATATTTATAGTATTTTATACTCGTCCCTTGAGTTCCCGCTAGAACACAGGACTACAGTGCCGCAGCTCCATTTCACTCAATACTATGACATCTTTGTGTTTCTTAACTAGCTCCACGTCAGTCCAAAAGTTTTCATTTCGTTTTCATATAATTTAATCCATGTTCATGATCGAACGACCAGCTGGAATTCCACTCTAAGTTCTCCTCGGTGTTTGTTCAATGCATCTGAATTCCCTTCCACACATTTTATGGGTGATAGGTTCTTGTCTGACTCGATGACAAAGTTCTTTGTTGCTAAAAATCAATATTTAAGAAGAATATCATTCGTGGATATGTTTTATGCTTGTTGATCACCGACAGGACTCTCTACTTATGTGTCATGTCTGTGCGGAATAGGTCGACTGACGAATATACCTCATCATGATTAAGATTTTAGTTGCAATAGTTAAGTGGCATGATAATCTACCGAAAAACATTATTTCCTTTCTAATAACTATGACTAATAACCAGACAGTCATGTGACTTGTTATTTACGCCTATTTGAACGCCCATTACTCAGGGTTAACTACATCTGTGAGTCATCATGTTCCTTTTATAGATTTATGTAAATACATCTCAGAATGTAATCCATTTTTTCAAATATTATTTTGTTATAATTACTATTATTCCCTTGGATTCCGAGTGGAACATACAAATTGAACAATGCATCACCACTTTCTGTTATTTTCTGCTCTCCTCTTCAGCTGGGCTCACAGTTCTCCTCCTGCAAAAACTATCTCCTCAATGCCACTCTCTGACCTAGGCCCTACTGGTCGTTTCCCATATAGGTTCCACTCGAGGGCTAACCTGGCCTACGATATTATTCGATGGTCTCGTCTTCTGAGCATGTGCTCAAACTATCTCTATATGTTCTTAGTCGGTCCGTTTATTGCCAGAGTTCCTGATCGCTAATTCCTCATAGCTTGGCTTCTGATCTTTAGTATGCAACCAGTGAAGGCAGACAAGGGTAAAAGTTTGCAGTAACCTGTAGGAAACGCTTTTGATATAGAGTATGGAAAGTTTTTGATCCATACAGAAGAACTGAGTGATTTGACATTTGTGTTGAAAATGAGTATCTTCTTTCTTATGCTTAGTTTAGAAGATTTCCAAATTGGTTTCAGATTGATGGAGGCGTGCGTATCTTGCCTCTCCAATTCTAGCCAACCCTGACATCTTCATCCGTATCAAATACCTGTAGTTGAAAGGATGCTTTCTAGTCAGATAATTGGAGAGAGTATCCTCTGTTAAATCTCTTCCTATGATGATGGCAGGTGATGGTTGTCGTTGCTGTTGATTGTTTATCTTCATCAGCTCCATCTTCTCTATATTCACCTGGAGTCCTGTCCTCACTGGCACCCTCTTCAGCTAGTTTGCTGGTTTTTGCTTGTCTGAAAGTCTTCGAGGTTGTGTGAAATTATACACATATCACCGGCGAAATCCAGATCTTCTAGAGTCTTCTTATCGGTCCAACATATTCCTGTGTCCTCGACACATAATCCAAACTGCCACAATTAGGAATATAATTAGTAATAATAGGTAACCTGGTCTTACTCCTGTATTCACTTCGAACACCTCGCTGAGTTTTCCGTTGTGGATCACCTGACACTTGACACTGTCATACAACTAGTTGTTGACTGAGTTTGATAAAGACTTGGATGGTACACGTCATAGTGTGTTGCAGTATTTCCCAGAATACTTCTCGGTCAACGCTGTTGAAGGCATTGTCAAAGTCAAGGGATTTGAGGTAGAGATCTGAGTGCCACTGATGATGATGATGATGATGATGAGTGGAGTTGCAGTTCGGTCAGCATATTATTTGTCTTTCATGAATCCAGTTTGTTGAGGACGGAGTTCCTCATCCAAAGGATCTTTTATTTTCTTTAGGAGGACACGACCTTTTATTTTACTTGGCGTAGACAAGAACAGGTAATTGTCGATTCAAGAGTCTTTTTTAAGTGATCAACCCATTTTGTTTTATTTATCTCTCCTCTTCAATAATAAGATTCCTTCGACCAACTTGTATTCGTTTCACCTGCATTGATCTTTTCCCGAATAGAGACCTGGTTATTCGATATAATGTCCTGAGGTCTCTTTCATCTGCGACCTGCCTGTTCTTCTGCTTCAGTTGCCGACCAGTGTGTCGTAGAATCGTCTTTTGTTTTTCCTAGCACTCTTCTTCATTTCCTTATTCAGAGCAGTGTACATCGCTGTGAACTCAGCGTCTGCTTCGGTTGTCCATCTTTGTATTGAGTCATCTTCTCTTCCACCATCCTCCTCTCTCCTATTAGCTTCCAGATATCCGCTGAGAGTCATTCTTTGTCTTGCCTCTTCTTTCTTCCTAGAAACGTTGTACACGTTACCCTGAACCTCATTTTCGAAGAGTTCCAATGTTCTTTCACACTGGTTTCCTCAGCGATGTCATATAGTGTCTCTGACTTTACTCTGATATATAATTATCAGCGTTATATATTTGTCTCTTTGGAGGTTTTATCGTCATTATTACATTCGGAATATAATGTTTACATAATATATAGAATTCACTGTAAACCTGTTTTGAAAGAAATTTGAGCATATAATTGTTCTAACTATCTTTTCTAAATGTATCTTTAAAAATATGTTTTATTCTTTCCATTATCAATTTTGAGGTCAAGACAATCAATGAGAATAAGGGGTTAATTAATGCTTCTATTTGTTCTCATTCACCTTGTATCAAACGAAAGCATCAGAATAGATCATGTCTACAGGATGTTACATTAAAAGAAACAAAGTGAGCAACTATACTCTAATTTTTTATTCAATGATTTCATATCAAACACAATCATAGAATCAATATTTGTTTATTTTGTTGTTTTCTAATTTTGTATTGGAATTCAACTTATGCAAAATTAAATGGTCATTTTTATTCTTAGGGAACAAAACAATCCACACTGATCTACAGATTGATGTATGTCGTTTGTACTCTGTTTTTTGTCTGAGTGCAAATTCAACTAGAGTAGACTGTTTTCCTCAGGTGACCGGTAAGCTAGTTATACTGTCTCTTCCCTGTGAGGAGGGGGGGGAGGTTTAGAAAAGGTTGGTCCTATCAACAGTGATCCGTAGCCGCCCGCAAGATCTTCATATTGAAACAACACTGAAAAGTACTTCATTTTTTTGATTCAAGTGTTGGTGTTGCTGGGAGTTGATTGGATTAGTTAAAGAATTTCATCATGAGCTGACATCGGTTAGAGAACCATTAGAAAAACTGGCAGTACTGGACGATCAGGCTTTTAGTCAGCCTAGTTTTGGACTCTTCATCAGCACGCACCCACTGTGGTTCAAACAGAAATTGTTCCATGTACATTATTGATAAAAGTGTAAAACTTGGGCATTGTCGTAGAGTATAACTCCATTACAGATAAGATTTTATTTTGATAAATCACACAGTATTATACACTAATATTAACTGATGACGTTTCGAGTGCCTTGATATGATTATGAGTAATAGTTTGTGCGGTAGTCAGATTGTCGGAACATAAGAATTTAGCTAAGTTAAGATAAGTAATTTAGAAAAAAGCTCAGCGATCGCACTGTATGCATTAACACACAACCACACGATAGGGTGGGGTGGGCAAAAATTCTACGAAGGAATATAGGTAGGTGGAGAGAGAGAAGTTGATTACTGAATCCTGCCTGGTTTATGGAGTCTACGCCCAACCTATGCAACAGAAATGACTCAACGCAAATACCAGAGATATGGAAGATATTATTACCACCAGTCAAATCAGAGGAGGATAATAAATAATCTTAAAATTTTATTTTAATTCAAGCACATCAGAACATTCTAACAAGTTACTCATTATGACCATAAAAAACACTTGTCTTATTAGTCATCTGATTGCATTTGTTTGAAAACACTCATATTATTTCTGAATGTACATTATCTTATGTTGATTTTTATTCAAATGTCTAATCATCAATTTCACTCATGTATATAAATGAAGCAAAGACTTGTGTGAGAAACTCGATATGATTATGAGTGGCAATAGTTTGTGCTTGAAACGTGGTCATCAGTTAATATTACTGTGACTTATCAAAATAAAATCTTATCCACAATGGAGAACGTTCCAGTTACAGGGCGAGCTCGTAGACGGTTAAGCTACTGAGACGCGACTCAATGACCAGCCTATGAATACCAATCTCTTCCAGTTCATGGTATAGTGGGGCTAGTCGACAGTGTAATCGTTGGTGAGTATTTGTCCTCACACCCGACCGGGTGGACTACACTTGTCACCCCTTCACATTAGAACTACAGGTAACTTTGTCTACCTGTAGCCAAAAGTATCATTTTGGGGGATAAAACGTTTATATCAGTTAATTTCAGCTATTTCAATAGGTGAGTAGGTACCTAAAAACTGTCAACGTGTGAGGAATATCAAAAATTGTTTTAGAACTTGTAAACTGAGAATCTGACAAACTTTTGTTCTCCAGACATTAAGAGTTGGTATTGAAATGACCTTGATTTCATTTGCTAACATCTTGTAACTGAGTAGGAAGTTTTTCAGTGATTAGTCTACATTTCTAATGGGTCCTAACAATTTGAGTTAACGAAAGTGAATTTTATACCCCTAGTGAAATGTGTTGAAATTGATACAGGTTAACTGATTTCTGTTTGCTGACTTATCTGAGTCGTCTGCATTAACTGTAAGGAATAAAAAATTGTAGGCAGATTAAATCCTATAAACTAAAGAAACACTATCGTTCACTAGAAAAAACTAGAAAGTACTACAGTACTCTCTCTTTCTTACACCAATAGAGATGGAACCGACGACGATTTGAGCCAAGCTCAAAGGTTAAGACTACGTAGCTGGTGGATTTAAGACGCTAAAAACCATTGGCTGAAGATGGCTGAAAAATGTTTATAATGATGTACAGAATTTTCAGCAGAGTCAATTACATGATATTTTCTCTTCGTCCAGGATCTTCAGATAACAGATTAATTATGACAGTACCATCTGACCTGAAATGCAAACCAATCCATTATGATGACGTCTCTTCTGTTTCTGCTTCAGGAAATACACGACACTTTGTTGAATACCAGCTATAAAAAGTCCAGAAGTACATCTTTGTGAACCAAGGACACCACTCAGGAACGGTTACCTCATGTTTTGGGATAACCATGCTATCGAGGATAATGTTTTTTCTCATGTATAATAGAAACTTGCGAATCAGTAGATTTTAAATGTTTTAAATACCCACCAGAGTTAAAATTACTATTTGAGGTCATACATTAGTGAATTAAAACAAACTGAATAAAACAGATTATACGCAATATATATATATTGATGAAGGTTGTTTTTGGTAGTCCAAGTTTTAAGCAAGCTGTCGTTGAAGAAAATTGTTGATAAAATGACGCAAAAAAGTTCTCAGTAGAGCATATGAATTCACTCTTTAGGATTCCCCAAACTCATCAATCTCTAAGTAATTATTATCTGCCTCATAAAGGTTCGTTTATTAATGTGGCACACTTGTGCAGCGTTGTATGTTGAAAATCCACTTCAGTTTAGAATCAGATATTTGTTCACACAAATATACATCTGAAGATCCAAGGTTTTCTCTACCTTAATTGTCTTTCAAATTACGTTACTGTGATGATTAAGTTCTGTATTCAGAGACATCAATGACTATTTTCTGTTGTCTGTAACAAAATTCATAACCTTAGACACAGTAAAGCCTAACCTTTAAAGTGAGTCCCTTAAACTAGCATTAGTTCTACCACTCAGATAGTCTCAGTAAGACTGCTCACAGATGGCCTGCTAAAAATCTAGTCTAGTTAACTAGCCGACGGTAATCCTGAAGTTGAGAGAAGGATGTACGTGAGGCTAGCAACCCACCGCATTTAAAAAGAAAATCACGGCTGATGAAACTCTGAAGCTTGAGGCTCTTCGTTCCACTCAGAACGCTAGGAATGAAAATACTACCCTTATCCCCCAACTGTTACTAATCTCTATAATTACGACTCCCAACCTTTTAAGGCTAATACTTCAAGGCCCTTCTATTATTATTCATTATCATCCCACTGGATGTAGAAAGGAACATAAGATCTTAGTGGCAAATCTCCATTACACCTAGGTCCCTTCCATCACCTCCGGCTGGCTTTATGACTGCACAAAGCTGATTTCTCCTCTCCACGTCATCTCAGTATTACCTTTGGACACTTAAGTCATCACTCACCCCCCATTCGGGTTTTATTCAAGGGCCTGGAGTACGATTTCACTTAAAGGACTCCTTCAAGCCATCTCTATTTATTCCTTTACATTTATGGGTAGTAGAGACTTAACCACTTCGCTGCCAGAGTCCCTATCCAGCCGGTCACCTGTCTTCAGTACTAAGTGAAGGTTTCTGTTAATGAAGTCTGCAGCCTATTGAAAATAATTCTGACAGAGCCACAAATCTCTGAATTTTGCGGAAGCACTGACTAAAAATGAGTTTTCAAAATCTGTGTCTTGTTCCTTTTGCTATGTGTAGTTTTCTGCAGTAAAATAGATTCTTTCAAGTAAATTAATTTTATATATTTCTACATCTGAAATAACAAAACTTCAAAAGAATAGAAAGAATTAGGATGACAGTGCTTCATAAGTACCATATCAATATGACAATAATACTATTATACGCAGCAATTTTCATCTTAGTTTCCTGAGACATTCTCTTTATAACTTTACTTACTGAGTGATCAAATTAGATACTGTAGAGTAGATGACATCGTTTTTTAAATATTGAAAACTGCGCCTTTAGTCTTAGCGTATTTTTATTGCATGTTAGTTAATTTAAACAAATATACTTTGCATATGTTCATTATTCAATTTTATTTTTATAATATAATAGCAAAATTCGTCAAGAATATGGTTTAAAACCAATAAATAAGAATAAAATTTCATCACCAGCTAAACGAATTCAATCTGTTGATCAAAAGGTAAGTAGATTTTAATGTTCATTTATTATTTTCAATGCATAATAATTAATTCTGTAGTTAAATATACAATTACACTATAGAGTAACTATTGTACAAGATTTTATTTGAAACCATCTGTCTGTCTATCTACCTGTGACTGTTCCAATGAAACATTCATCATCCAAGTGGATGGAATGTGAATATTGTTCAGATAAGTACAATAAGAAACAATTTGATTCATGTAACAGTGCATTCTGAAATAGTGTCTTCCCTGACAGCTAGTGTTAGCTATAATAGGACTAGACAGGAAAAGAATGGGATGAAAACGTGCCATCAATGGATGAACTCTTTAATTTTCGCTTTCAACTACATATGGTATAGACTGCTTGGTTGGGTTCTTTGACAAATTAAGAATTAATGTTTAGAAGCTGCTGGTGATTTGACTGACAATCACTGTCAGTGGTCACAGATTTATTCATTAGGTGCCATTATCGAATTTTCTTAAATCCCCAACAGAAATGTTCTTTCTCCTGTACTTTTTTTCGACTATTACAGTTTCATGAGATCTTCTTTCTCTACTACTATATGTTCTTTTGTGAAGTGTAACCACTTTGATCTCTGTTCTTCTATGTAAAGTTCTGCTTAAATCTTTCACAGACATTAATACTATTCAAACACGAGAAAAATGAATAAGACATCTTAAAGTGTTTAAAAACAGTAAGTGAGTTCACTAAGCCTATTCCTCTTAGGAAATATGCTTCTGTACACTTTAGCATGTACTAAATAATTAATGATATCACTATAGTGATTCCTCTAAGAATTATGAAGGCGTTTAGGTTCGTACTGTTATTCTCTTGTACATTTTACTGTGATGTAGTAGGTTTTTATTCCACAAGAATTTAGTCTAGTTGGAAAATTATTTCGCCATTGACTTGGTAGCCAGTTATTGTTATTATTATATCCTTTAATTCCTAGAGGAACAGAAGGCTTCAGCTGCGCGTCTCAATTGCCTTCTGTTTTCTGCCAACTTTTTCACCCCGCCCAAAGTCTGCCCACATTTTTTCATCTCCTCTTCACATGACCTTCTCTAAGTCAACCTTGCACTGACGGCCAACTCGCCGCTTCCCTTTCGGGTTCAACTCGAGCGATGGCTTGTCTAGTGATATCACTTGATGGTTTCCTCAGCGTATGGCCAATCAATCTCCATTTCTTCTTGCCTATTTGTTTCACAATCGGTTCCTGTTGGTTTGGTTCGCTCTCAGAGATCCCTTTTGCTGATCTTTTCTGGCCCGCCATCTGATCTTGAGTATTGAGCGAAGACAACTATTAATGAAGGTCTGAAGTTTGTTTGGTAGCCAGTAGCATAGTGGTTAAGATATGTAATCATTAAGACTCTCTGCTGAGATAGTACCACTCATTGCGACTTAATTTTATCTATTTGTCAACCGGTATAAACAATAGCAATAACCTTATTATGGACAAAATGAATACACACAGTACAGCACTGCCATCGTATTTTGTTGCACGAAACGAAGGATCAGATGCATGGCACTAGTTAATGCCTGATGTCCAATTAAGGTATCTATTACAGTCCCACAGGAGGTTAATTTCGAGTCTAATTACCTCAGCAGTAACGTCTCTGATTCTAGCATTGGATGAACCCGGGTTTGAATTTCAAAAGGGACATGTGCTCCTTCAGTGATTGCAGATTCTCCTTATTGATAACAAGCACTAAACCTAGGTCCCAAGGCTTCCTGTCGATTGTCTACGACCATATAAAAAACACTTACTTGCCGTGAACGATTTTTAAGTAGAGCAGTAATCCACAATACATTTTGTGACGTAATGCTATTCTTTGTGAATGTACAGTAATAGGTTGAAAGCCAATTAAAAATGTCACTGAGTGTTTTTTCTATCCAAGAACATAATTCAATAGTTCAAACAATAAATAATGCAGAAAAGGTTATTAGATAGTTGAAGGCCATCAACAAGAAGCACAGCTGAACCTAGGTTTCTTGCCTGTTGGCTGTCACCCACCAGTTAGCAAGGCGTATCTAGAGCCACTGAAGGAACTCATATCCCTTCTGAGATTTAAACGCGTGTCACCCAGTGCAACGGTCAGTCATCGACGTTACCACTGAGCTAGTCGGGGTCTCGCTTGACATCCTATAGGACTGTAATGAATACTTTGGTAAGACACTAACTAATGAATGCGTCTTTAGTCCTTCGTTCACTGCAGACTAGATTCTACCAGTCAAGTTTGCAATGTGGCCACCATGCCACTAGGTAGCTCTTTTTTATTTTTTTATTACAGCTTGATTCCACACTGTATTTTTGGTACAAGTATGGAATTTTCAGCGTGGATATCGGTAGCCCAAAATTCGCAGGCCGACCATAAATATCAGGTGTGCGTCGGCGTGGGCTCGAACCTCGGACCATGTGCATGGTCGGCGAGAGTCCTAACCACTGTGCCACCGACGCACAGTGTACACAAAATTGTTTTTATCAGATGGTTATTAGATCCAGAGCTGGATGACAAGGGTTTGAATCTCAGTAAGTTCTTACAAGGTTGCGAATACACCTTACTGACTGGTGAGTGAGTGCCAACTAGCACAAAACCTAAGTCCTGCTGTGCTTCCTGTTGATGGCCTCTAACCACCTAATAACAACAATCCTGAGTGCACCGTGATGGCGAACCACCCACCTACTGGCATGATTGCCACATTGCAAATTTGACCGATAGAATTCAGTCTGCAGTAAACAAAAGACTAGTTGCTTGATACTAGTTAGCGTGCAATCAAAAACGCGGGAAATCTGTTGCATTGTGCCGGATGAAAACTAAGCTATCCCAGTAATTTCACCCCTTTACCTCGCTATGCCGGTAGTAAGATTGGTAAAGAAGGGAGGTTGAGCGAGGGGTTAGCAACTCCACTTCCTGTGAAAATAGACACCACTGCTACCTAAACTTCAAAGCTCTAGCTAGGAACTTAAAGGAATAAAAAAAACGTAATTTCAGAAGACTGTCAAACTTATTGTTATCACCTTCACTATTAACCTTAAACTAGGCGGCATCAAATGTCTTAGAGGACACAGAATATACTTGGAAAATAGGGAAGGTTTCTCCTTTTTGTAAAATAACTCATCTCTTTTTATCATAAACACACAAGTTCTGTTGAATAATCTGAAATGTTGTGGAGTCATAATTAATCAAATTAGTTGACGAAGTAGACATGTATGCCTACAGTCATCTGGACGTCACATTTTTTGGCGATATATTCATCTCAGGCTTTTTCCACCGCGAAATACAAGCTGTTTTCCACAGTCATCACAGCTATAAATTCAGTAGATTATTAAACTCTTTTGTTCTGAATATAGTCGAAAAATGACTGAAAGAAAAGAGCGTACAAAGAGGACAGAAATAACTTTAATGAAAACAAAACACGTGTAGTTCAGCGAAGGGTCTGTTTCCGGCAGCGAATTCATTCACTTAACTGCACAATCGTAATTATGTACAATTATTTTTGTATACGTGTGTGTACATTGGGTTTTTCTGACAAGAATTAAGATAAGTTGAGATTATTGGTGTCAAGAGATTCCAAAAATGTGATGTCCGGATGGCGATTATTCATAAATACCTTCCACTGGGTTTCACATATCTGAGTACAATATTCGACGGTTACTTCTTTTTTTTGTGTCGGTAGCACAGCAGTAGAATACTCGCCGACCACGTCAAGCAAAATGTTCGACGGTTACTTCTTTCGTTACTTCGACTAAGAGTATATGTGAACCTTTATAATACAACACATAAAAACTGAACATGTAACAAAAAGCCTACCTCTCAAGGGAACAAACACCTACAATAGTGTCATTGCCAAGCTTCTCATTATTACAGGTCATGAGGTGGAAATTGCAAAATCCTCTCTTGTTAATAGTAAACAAAATGCCTCACTTCTCCTGAAGTTTGCTGAAGCGAACTCTCAAACATCTGAAACTTGATTTATGTGTTCAGAAAGAAACAGTTATCAATCTTTCCGTGCCTCTGTTAGCAGGATGTCTTCGTTCTCTGTGTCGTTTGATTGCGTATGCTTTGACTTTAACCTCTTGTCTTTATTGCGTAACTCATTTACCATTGTATGCATACAATGATTTTACTATTGAAACTTGAACTCTCTGAGTAGGTATGTTAAAATTGTTTCTATACGTAAACTTAGTAATATCTCTAAACTGTAAGCAGCTGATGAGAATTAGACGAAATGAATGATGGTACTATCATTTTATTCTGCATAAACCTCTGTTGTTCTTGTGTTATTCAAACAAAAGGTGTTCTGATTCCCTATGCGCAAGATTAAGCATTAAAAACTACGTACAAATAGGCTATTGACATTGTTACACTTATGATACAATAATGTATTGATTTTTATGGTATGTAATGTAACCAATCATAGAAAAGGCTATTTATATTCACAATTACTATTGGCTGCTTAGTTATTTTTAGAAAGCATTCACCTTAACCATCGCTTCCTGGCGAGGACATAAGTTATGGTAAATCAAACTTACCACGTTTTCATTTCAACATGCTTATCATTAGGTAGAATGGAGGCGGTCTGTTCCGACCTCAATTTCCTCAAGTAGTTGATTTTGTATTACCTGTCTAGAAGAATTCTGTAATCTTAAGAGATGTCGTGTTTGACTGTCTCAAAGATGTTTTATCAACATTTTGGTTCACATGAAATATCTTATGTAGAATTTTGCGTGGAAATAATTGTCGATAGATTTTGTTCTCAACCTTGCTGTTTAATCAGTACAGTTTGATTTGTCTGGGCTTTAGTTTGTCCATCTTGAAATTAGTAGTTCTTAATGATATACTGTTGTATATATATATATATATATATATATATATATAATATATATATATATATATATAATCTGTTGAACAAGATTAAAATGGCTAGAGAAATCGTTTCATCAGTTTGTCACAATCTGACGTGCGCGCTAATGAAAGTCAGAGACACCGATATTCAAGAATAGATTTATTTGTAGACATCCTTAAGTGTCTTCAAGATTTTGTTTGTGGGGATCCGATTTGCTTCAAGCTTATAGTCACGGATTGATATCATTTAGAGGACCAGTCATTTAAAACCCAGCACTCGAGTACTGGACAACTGTTTCGTCAGTATAGTTTGGGACTCATCGCTAGTACGCAGTCACCCCAGTGCCAGACTTCGAACCCGCAAACTTCTAGTAAAACGTTGAGATAGCTCGTATACCATTCAGCTACTTGGACCAAACTCAAAGACCAGCCTTGATAACTAACTTCTACCAGTTCGTGATTAAAGCTTGACTGGCACCAGCCAGTGTGTCATCGTTGGCGAGTGTTTGTCCCGGATGGCCTCCACTGGCTACCATAGGACAGCTGTCCAGCACTCGAGTGCTGGTTTTCAATGGTTCTCTGTCTGATATCAACCCATGAACAAATCTTTATTAGAATATATTCCACTAATGATAGAGTATAAAATAATTCGCTGTTCAAATCTCTTCAGGTAACAGTCGTCTTTATTGACTTATTTCCTTTAACCACAATATCTTAACGTCTTCTTGTTTATTCATATAAAATTATAGAATGAAAAGATTGTACGAAATTCAATAATACGCCTATTGAAAACATTGAATTGCGATAGCCTAGAAAGAATAATTCAAGCTGCTGAGAAACGTTTACTACGTTTATCCGGTTTAACATACAATCTTCAGCTGCAATCATTTATCAACGGTGAAATTGGTGAAGATAATGCCGATGATGGTGAATGGACACCGAATGGAACATATGATTGTTCAAATTATATAAATGGAGCAAAATGAACACCACACACTCACACACACAAAATAACGGAAGTGTCACATCAATAATGGCGGTTATTTTCAAATTAGGCGGGATATTCATTCAACTTTGATCATTATCATTATTATTGCTTTGTTTTTCTAAATGTAATTTATTTCTAACTTCATTTCGTTTCAATTTTTAATAGACCTAATCATTAATCAATTTTATTTGATTTTTTTTTAATGTACAAAATTACTTTGTTTAGTAAAAGGAAAAAGAGGAGAGGCTATGAGAGGCCTTCACATAAAGTTGGTTATATCTCAGACATATTTTCTAATTAGTCACTATGTGAATCCATGTGATTATCATTAATCCAGTGATTTATTTCCGTGAATAATGCCACACCTTAACTGTGATTGGTTAGTAACCCATATGTTTTTCTAGCCTTGCTTATGGTTGATAAAATATCAGACTGAAAAATATTTACAGTATTTCGTTGTTGTTGTTGTTGTTGCTTTTTACTTAGACCTATGCGCTGTTGTTTATTTCTTACAGTTTTTTCAATAATAAATGACATTTTTAAAAACAAAGCTATAAACAGAATATTATTCATATTTATTGAATGAAAATAGCTGAATATACATACGGATGGATTGTCTGAAACATTTGGATAAATTGAAGTTATTAAATGGTTGGTGGAATCCACCACAAAGCCTTGCACCTAGGTTTTGTGCTTATTGGCACTCGCCAGCGGGGTGTGTCTGTGATCCTGAAGGAACGTTTGTCCCTTCTGAGATCCGAAGACTTGTCATCCAGTGCCATGGTGAGAGACCTCACCACTGAGTTATCTGGGTTCGTGGTTGACTTCCTGAAGGACTGTCGCCCCAAAGTGGACAGGCAGCATCGCTAGCATGCTGTCTTCGTCGGAGATCAACTCCACCGTTGGGACTGATGATACTTCCCAAATGTGATAGGACGTGTGTTACGTATGCCTAGTCATCGCCTTCCTCGACGGTCAATGTTAGCTGATATAGGGTCAAGCTGGAAAAGAGTTAGCGGCAGTCAAACCAGTCAATGAAATCCACAACAGTTATTTTAAGCAAGTGACGTAGGAAGCTGTAGACTTCCTGATTGGTTGGGTTCATCGAGACGGTAAAAACCAATGGTTGGAAACAATTGGTGATATGGCTCAAAGTGATCGTTCTCAATGGCTAACGCAGATGCATCCACTCCTTGTGACTTATGATTTCCAATAAAACTATTTTGTTCTTCGTTATTACTATTCCTTTGTTTCACATTCCTTTTTACGGTCTCGATTATGCATTTCTTCTACTTCCTTCTCTTGCTTTGTGTGCTACATGAAGTGTGGCGACTTGAACTGCTACACATCGGTGCAAAGTTCTATGTCAAAAACAGACAGACATTGGATACTTTGATTGAACACTAACTGTGATATGCGTATCTAGTCCTTCATTGACTGCAGACCATCATGTTGCACTCATAATTGTTGATATTTTATGACTGAAGTCAATCGACAAGAAGCCTTTCAACTAGGTTTCGTGCCAGTGGACACTCACCAGTCATCAACATGTATCTGCAACCATCTGATAACAACAATTCTAAATGCACCATGTTGGTGAGCCACCTAGTGGCATGGTAGTCTACATTGCAAATTCGACTGATAGAATTCAGTCTTCAGTAAATAAAGGACTAGACACATGAAACTAGTTATCGTCCAATCAGATTACAGTCTAATAAAACCAATCATTAAATAAAGTTTACTGTTATTGTGATTTGAAGGACGATATGTTGGCATATTTTGGAAACATAAACAAAATAAGGAAACAGGAATAGAATTTATCAAGTAGATTTTGTACTGATCACATGACAGTGATTACATGTCAGCAACGACTAATCAATGTTGTAAGCATTACAGTTCTACTTCAGTGGTTGACTGGAATAGCTTAGCAGTTACATCTTGGAATGTGGCACTAGACAATGTGGGCTTGAATCTACAGGAAGACGTTGTTGTCTTTGAGATGATGGATACGCCATGCTGATAAATACGGATAAGGCTTCCTACCAATCAATTCTAACCATTTGTTGTGGCAAACTTTTGTTATCTACCACAGGGAAACCTAATCCAAATTTTTGCCTAGGATGAGTTGAATTTAATGAGATCAGCTTGATGAGGTTAATTGGCTTTAAATTCTTTATTATTCGTAATATTTTCACTACTAACACTAGCGCTAACTATATTATGAGTTCTATGGGTACTATCATATTAAGGAGTAACATTAGAGGTCCTGAGTAGTTAGTTCTCGGGTGATATTTTAATCAACCAATCCACTCACGGACAAACTTTATCAGCTTGAGGACTCGATACAACCGATTTGAACAAAGCAGTAAAATTTACCAAGTACTATATGATGACTGTGAAGTCAAATACAGAGGTCAAATTAGTAGATTGGGGTTATTTAGATAATCAAAACATAAGAATTTAGTTAGATCTAGAATGAGAGACGCTGCTAGATTATGTCATTTCGTATAAAGTTCAGTTATGTGAATGCATTCACTTGCATCTTATCATACATTGGGATGGGATGGTGTAGAATTAATAAAAAGTAATATAAATAATAGAAAAGATTTGTAACTCAAGTGGATGATTTGCAATTATTAGTGTTCCCTGAGCTGGTTGGTTTAGTTGCGGAGCTTTCGTCGTCTTTCTGGACGACATCTTCAGTGCAGTATTTAGCATAAAGTCAAATGATTTAAAATCTCCATGAATGATGATACAGTTGCGTCTCCTGGTGACCAACCATCTTTACATATGCATTGACCGTTTTCTATTGATTGGGATTTTAAACTTTCTGGTCACCTGATTTACTTTTTATTAGTTGATATATTTCATCTATATTAACGTGTTTATTGATGGCATTTTCGTTTCAGTACCAGGCTTCTAGGAATTCCCTGGCACATTTGGTGTCTCATCTGTCTAAGATTTTGACATTATCCCAATCAAATTGATGTCCATAGTTGTCTGTATGCATTGATACTAAAGAATTTATATTATGCCTTCTCACGGCTGATTTGTGTTCTTGGATTCTTTTTCGAAGGGGATGCCCACTTTGGCCGATGTAATGTTTGTTACAGTTCATACAATTTATTTTGTAAATGGTGTTAATTTTACCTTCTTTTTCTATCGGATCTTTTGGTTTGCATAAGATTGAATTAAGCAATTCGGCTGGTTTGTGTGCTCGGAGAGAGAGGAAGGTTACTCATCGGATATTGTCCATCCATTTAATAAGCAATACATGTAATTGAAATAATCTTCAGACATGGAAATAAGGGCGGTAAAAATGAAGTAAGAAAGTTGTTAGAATATGTTGGTATGAAGAGGAGCAATAAATTATTCCAGTGACTCCATCTTATTATTGTTGTTCTTTTGAGTTCTGATTGGATCATAGGGCTTCAGCAACACATCTCCAATTTCTTCTATTTTCTGTCTTCCTTATCATTTGGGTTCAAGGCTGACCATAATCTCTCGTCTCCTCCTCACACGATCTCCTTCATATCACCCTAGGACGAACCACTCGCATTATATTGAGCAAAGTTCCTATTTGACCACAGTACTCGGAGACTTGTCTTTTAATAGTTATGAATACTTCTATGCAAATAAATGAACTTCATTGAGTTCCTGTATCTTGGTATCAGTTATCCAATCAAGTCATTGTTTCTTAACATTGGGATCAGTTTACCGACGATTTTCTCCTATGAACAATAAACTATGGACGAACTTATTTTGAGATGTACGATAAATGTCCAACAAGGAAACAGAAAAACCAATGGTGTAGCTATGGATTACCAATTGGATCCAATCCTAGATGAGTTTTTTTTCGCCTAGGGTAGAGAATCAACCATTGGAAGGAGTAATTAATGAGTTAGAATTCTACTATCGATATACCAGTGACACATTTGTGATTGTGAAAAATGACAATGGAGCAACGAATAGCCTCGACAAGTTCAATATTGAACACTCAGTCATAAACTTCACCATAGAGGAAGAAAGTAGTGATAGTATTTCATTCCTAGACGTCTTTCTGATCAGGAAAGAGGATGGTGCACTAAGAAGGAGGGTGTATAGAAAAAAATAAAAGCATGAGGTCATTATACCCACTTTTGAATTTTTGACCTGTGTAATATAAACGGAACTTGGTAAAAAGGTCGGTTCATAGAGCTAGGGTAGTCTGCTCAAACGAATTACTCATTGAGGAGTTAACGAATACCACAAAATTACTCAGTAAAAATGGTTATCCAGATGAAGAAATAGAGAAAAATATGAGTTTACCACCAAAGCAAGCCAGTAGGGCAGCAGCTCCAGAAAAGCCATTGTTCATAAAGCTGAAGTATCTTGGTAATATAATTATCAAATTAGTAAGAAAAAACATGAAGGATGCAATTTAAAAATTTAACACAGCAGAGGTACACTGTCTCTTCATAATCACTCTGAGTATACGTTCAAGAAATGAGGACACACTGTCTAATTTCTCCTCCTCTGTGTGTATCTACTAGTCTGACGGCAGCTATGGGGCCATCTACACCGGGTGTATATTTAGGCAGGTTCATCATTGTATTTCCAAACATCATCCAGCATGGTTAAGCAAGGGACAAACAAAATCTATTCGTAGCTCTGTTTTAGCACATCTTATAGATAGTCAGCATAAGGCTGATATTGATACAGCATTTAAAGTTATCTACCGTACTCCCGCTAATCGTAATTTTGCTCTACGAGTTCGTGTTTCAAATACAGCTGAAGTCATCAGAATCCACCTGAGGAAGTTAAACCTGTGTGTTCAGAAGAAATTGATTGATACAGTCAATTTCCTCAGCTTGGCTATTGTTACATGAATGTATAAACCTGATTAATTCTCCTTCCCTCTAAGCCTTTTAAACATTTTCATTATCCAAATTATTTTTTGAGTCTATCTTCATTTGCTGATCACGTAATCAACTTGAACATTCGCTTATTTTTTTTAATTACTGTTCATTCTTCCAAAATTATCTATTAAGCAATTCAATTATTGGAACCATTTCTACCCTTTAATTATGTATATTACTTTTCATCCATAATCATCACTCCACCCACACCCGTGACATGTTGATACTGACTAATTATTGTTAGCAAAAATACCGCCAATTGATCAGAAAAAATGTGTATTGTATTAAAAATGCTATATGCATATACATTCGAGTAGAGTCAGAGATGAGGATCTAATTATAAAGTATATATTTTCCTCACTCAATCCTTTTACTTTCTAAATGGGGATTTTTTCTACATTCAACAATAAACCAGTTTTCATCCTCTTCTAATCTGGAAAAAACATTTGAGCAGTCCACATTTGTGTGACAAACTGTATACGTCAGTTGTTCAAGAAGGTAATGTGAAATTCTCTCATCTTCTACTTGGAGAACGCTTATAGGTTTGTAAACCTCTTAAGAATCCAGTCTTGCTGTTTCAGATGAGATGGCTGTCTAATATGTATCCATATATATATATATATATATATATATATGGTGGTCTCTCTTTCTG